CTCGAGCTCACTGTCTAATCTCGACACGGTGAATAATAAAATTCTTAATTGGCTCTGTTTAGTTGAAAACTGTTCCACCGTTATCTAAACTAACGGACAATTCCTTTCATTACCTTTAACAAATTAAACTAACAGCTTATCTTATAATGTTTATTGTTCATCATAAAATTAACTTCCAATTGCGAGTGTCAGTTTGTTTAATGCCGATGAAATGAGTAAGATGAAAGCCTAGAATTATAACAATAAAATGCAAAAATGATGTGTTGCAATGAATATTATATTGAAGCAGCATATTACATCCACGGAGTTATATTGCTCCGCTCAGCAAGGAGGCTGATAATACAGTTCACTGTTAATTGAATATTTGCTAGAATGAGTTAACGTGTTTTACCCCATTTATGTATGAGGACAAAATATAAGGAGTGTTAGGAAATAGGATTCATAGGACATCGTTAAAGATTAATGTTTACCCATTGCCATATTAGTCAAAACTTGTATGAATGAACGATAAGGTAGGCTGTCTTCCGGGTTCGCTGTTTTGTTATATTTCTTGGTGAATCTGTAACGAAAAGGGTAATGCTATCTGAAAATGACAAGTTTGAGAACTGTGTAATAAAATAATAAAATGTGAGAGTACATGTCACAGTCGATACACAAAACACGACAACCTCCCCGCTCAGCGAGTGTGCTCAAACTGTGGTCAGTGATTGAAGCGGACGTAGAAGTTACCTGTTGACACTGTGTCTGTTGAACACTCAGATGTAAAAATATCGTCAAACAACTGCTTTGTTGGTCTCATTGTTTAGTAAATCGTATAAGAAGAGTTTAGAATACTAACAATGATAGTTTTATCATGATATGAAGTTTATACATATGTGTTTTCAGGCGGTAAGTGTCTATTTCTGACTACTGACAGCTAACCAGCTCAACTAACAATTTCTGACAAAATGTTTTATGGAGTGTTTATTTCATTGTCAATCAATATAAAAATGTATGGAACACATTTAGAATACCCATTCAAATATTTGTACAGCTTTATAATTTCTATTTAAAGCACAATTATCACACATTTCACACACAGACGAAAATGGCAGCCGATATTCAGTGCGCTGTTTTGTAAACATTGAAACGAGGTTGACAATAAAATGTCTAATTTGTTGTCTGAAGTCGGGAAATTTGTTAAACTGTAAACAAAATGTATATTTCCAGGTCCTAAACTACAAATGGACGCTGCTCGAGCCAACTCAGACGAGTGCCACGTAACTACAGGCGGTGAGCTGGTGAACTCGCCGCCCGCCACACAACACAGACACAGCGGCAGGTTACGGGTATATTGGGGTACATGTGCCTCCACCCCCATCACCCTTCCTCCATCCCCCTCTACTGTCACCCCTGTCCCACACACACCACGATACTGGGAGACCCACACTATGGTGGGTGTGGTGGGTGGATGGTGGTGGTTTGTCCTGGAGGTGGGTGTGATAGAGGAGAGCCAGGTAGACAGTGGGTGGTGTGTTTGTGACCAGCCCCGCTCCTGGTGTGTCAGTGTAGTGAGATGTAACACACACCAGGGGAGACTCTGTACCAGGGTGTGTCAGCTGGGGGAGGTGGGGGAGTGTTACAGTAACACAATGTCTGCCACACCCGGCACACAGGCCACCCTCCACTATGGCGTTGTGCTGGATGTGGGGAGGGGGAGACTCGCCTTCATCGACCTCGACAGAGAGGTTGTTTTAGCCAAGGTGGATGTTGAGTGGAGCGAGTCTCTTCTTCCCATGTTTGGTGTTGGGCCGCCAGATCGCTACACAGTCAACATGAAGGTGATAAGTGGGGCAGATATCACCATGACTGACACCAAGAAGTCACTTATTAATGACGCCTTGAATTAGACAATAAAATAAACATGACATTGTGTAAACTTGTAAGTGTGACTTATTTATTTAAACTGTCAAATGTAATTGTAGTGATTGAGGCGGACGTATAAGTTGTCTGTCTATGTGCTGTTTGTTGTGTACAAGAATGTAACGAGGTCAGCTGAATGTGTTGTTTTTCTACTTGACTGGATTCAGGGGGATGTTACAAACATTTTACATCCACACATGACTATTGTTATGATTATTATTCTGCAGTAGTTGACCAGTTTATGATACATTTCACACATGTCTGGGAAATGTCACAACAAATAACCGAATCCACAAATTTATCAAAACTTGTTTCAAATCATGAATTTATCACCATGTTTAGTTTCTACTCTGTAATGTAAATGTTTTAAATCCCCACATGAACAGTTGTGATGAAATTATTGTAGTTGTGAATCCACATACGTCACATTTGATCTCAGTGAAGAGATGAGGTGAAAGTCAGTGAAGCGGACATAGAATGTCCCCGTGTACATGGCGAGGCGCACATTCCAAAACACAATCAAGTTCGCAGAATCTTTTGTTTTCCTAATTAGCTGGGTTTTGTTGTCTGTAAGAAGTGTTTCAAATCTACACTTGAGCAACGTTTGGATTTAGTGAAGCAGAAATGGCAGATTTCAAATGTCTAACACTACAGAAACGGTATTGAAGAAAGAAAAGCAATGACCGTAGTTTCAGCATGTGTTTAATGACAACTTATTTATTCTGCAGCGCAAGAAATGCACTAACAATTGCAAGAGCAGATATAAAAAGTTATATCAACGACATCAGAGCGCAACATACACTATATATGTCTCCTACTTGATTGTGGGGCGTTTGGGTGGTTCAGCGTTCGCTCGTCGACGCTGAAGACCCGGGCTCGAGTCCCCACATGGATACAATGTGTGAAGCCCATTGCCTGTGTCCCCGCCGTGATATTGCTGGAATATTGCTAAAAACGGGTAAACCCATACTCACTCACTTGATTGTGAGAACCTTTAGACTGTTTCGAAGCACTGTGGTCTAAGGGAAGTAACTCTGTGCGGGAAGCTGTGACAACATGTTTGTACACTTCTCTCCCGATCCTCATGCTGTTATCACTGGATTGTCTGGTCCAGACTCGATTATTTACAGACCGCCGCCATATAGCTGAAATATTGCTGAGTGTGGCGTAAAACTAAACTCAAAAAAAATTAGAGTAGCTGGGCGACGTGGTGAGTGAGCGGGTGGCTGGGTGAGTTGATAGGGGAGATGGAGGGAGGTGTCGGGACTGTCGGGTGAGCGAGTGAGACTTTAAATGAAATCGTTTACCAAAGTTCCAACACAGAGATATAATCTTCAGTTATATTAGTCTTTTGCTAACTGTAAAATTAAAGGTTTGAATATTAAACATCCTTGCATATTAACTGTTTCTTTTACAAGAGCATCAACACATTTCATACAAGATGAATAAATATTTCGCAGGTGGTTGAAGTGGTGTAAGGGAGGTAACTCTGTGAGGACTCGAGGCCATGAGTGAACAAGGGTATGTCCCATATCAACTTGTTTCCACCATGAAACTTGAATTACCCAAACATATAAATATTTTGTGTGTCCGTGCAGTATCTAAACAAACGGCTATTCAATGTGTTTCTATTTCTAAGTACATACATGTACATGTACTCAAAAGTATTATTTAGAAGATCATTGACTTGATACAGAGTACTTTCATTTTCACCTCCAATAGAATCCCGAGATTTGTCATCGCATTACACATACAAACTTCCGCAAATGGTGACCGGTCGCTTCTGAATCAATGTATTTTCACATAACGATCCGTGGTGTATTAGTGCAGCTGAGATTTTTTGTCATGTTTTTCCCCGAAAATTACCTTAAAAAGTATCCTTAAATTGAAACATTTAAGACCTGAAAAGTGAAGTTATATCTATTTCACAGAACAATGTCCTTGAGCCCGAGGGTATCTCATCTAAACACAGGCTATTCACCGTCCTGGTAGTGTGGGAAGTAAACCGTGGTGTACAGTGTTTTTTGTACATGGGGTTTTGAACGAAAGCTCTCAAAGTAATAATACACCCTGAGGAGTGAGTGAATGTGTTTAGTTATCAATATTCCAGGCATATCACTACTGCGGTGACCGAAAAGAGGTTTAGCACATTTTACCCATTTGGGGAATAGTACCCTGGTCTTTGGTGTGACGACTTAACGCTTTAACCAATAGGCTACCAACCAACCCCCCATCCTCAAGGACCGCCTCCGTGGTGTAGTGGTTAGAGCGTCCGCCCGGAGAGCGGAGGGTCGCGGGTTCGATCCCCGACCGCGTCATACCAAAAGACGTTAAACCCAATTTGACCTCACCTCACCCATCCTCAAGGAATTGATGAAACTGTCGTAGCGTTCACTGAAACACTGAGGTAATGGCTTGAACTTTCAAGCAACTCTGTCACAAAGCAAGAATAGCCTACTATGGAACTATGTCAAATATATTATTTCAAGATGAAATGATGATATAGACTAGTTGTTGAGTTTGTTATCAGATTCCTTTTCAATATTGCAAACTGGATTATAATTTGATCTCACTAAGTTGAAGGGTTTTAAACATGTATTATTCAAACTGGATTATATGTTGACTTCACTAAGTTGAAGGGTTTTAAACATGTATTATTCAAACTGGATTATATGTTGACTTCACTAAGTTGAAGGGTTTTAAACATGTATTAAAATACACAACATATCACTCCAATAAGCATGGGATTGGAAGCCCGTATCTTTCGTTTATTGGCGACTTAGCTTCGTATATTGGCCACTTTGTCTGGTGTATTGGCGCCCTACTTTCAAATATTGGCGCCCTATTACCGACCCGGTCCAAACGCTGAATTCAAACAGTAATACCCACATTACAGAAATGGGGCGGTGGGGTAGCCTAGTGGTTAAAGCGTTTGGCTCGTCACACCGAAGACCGGGTTCGATTCCCCACATGGGTACATTGTATGAAGCCCACTTCTGGTGTCCCCCGCCGTGATATTGCTGGGATATTGCTAAAAGCGGCGTAAAACTAAACTCAGTCAGTCAGCCATTACCAAAATATAGAAACGAAACCTCACAATGTTTTCATCCCTTTATTACATGTCAAATGTCACTCTTGCACCGTCCCGTTCAACAACGAAGTGTACAGTTTTAGCATTTGAACAGTTGGCGTCTTGACGTCTTGGGGTCAGTGGTGTCGGAGACGTGAGGTGTTGGCGAGCTAGTCGCTGATGTGGCAGTTGCTGGTGTTTTCCTCTGGACAACATCATCAACACTCTTTAACATGCCCTCGCTTGTTCTCTTGTACCTGTATTGTATATAGCACATAATTATTCAGTACATGTTACTCCCTCACTAATATTTGGATATACATTTTACAAGTGATTGTTAGCGAGTGAGTTTGGCTTTACACATCCTTCAGCAAATATTCCAGCACTATGACGGCAGGGGACACAAAGCATGGGCTTTACACATTGTGCTTGTGTTGGGAATCGAACCCGCACCGCAGGCACTATAACCACTAGGCTACCTCACCGCCCTTAGACGTGATTAATAATCATTAAATACAGTGCACATATGTCCCATTGTACCAGTGCCCATTTGTCTTCAAATCAACCTGTTGTTCAGTATGTGATTGCTTCAAATGCAATTACACCTATACTTACGCACAAATAGCTGTCGATCTGTGACCTGTCCTTTCGGCAATCAGCTTCTCATCCAAACCGCTCTCCTACTGGCGTGTGGCCGTTGTAGCCCTTAGTGGTTTGTATAAAATCCTTTAAACCCGACCCTGGCGCAGCGAGCCTCTTGACACCCCAGACAGAACGTGTCTCCCTATAGGAGCGGCAGAGTACCACTGGTTAGGCTTAGGATACTTGAGTGGACGAAGGTAAAAGTCATCACAACCCACTGGCCTGCAATCAAGTGGTACATACATTGCATACAAGCTTCACTGTAGCCGTCTCCATGGGGTTTTTCTGTATAAAAAGCTATTTTTTTACAAAACGATATGAATTTCACATTTTTGTCAATTTTAAGATTTTCAGTAATCACTAAATTATTCACTCACCTCAGTGACATGTACTTTTGGTGAAGTCTCACTGGACAACGGGCAGGGTTCTCTCCGTTAATATCCACTGAAATGACCTTAGCAGACAATCTTTTATGTTACAGCCCTCCTGAATTCGTTTTGGAAACCTCTTCAGAGTAAACCAATTGTTTTTTGTTGTATCTTTTAGAGCACGATGTTCCTCACCACCTCGCAAACAAAAGTTTATCCCATTCAAATAAAAAACGGTTTCAAGCAATTTCTCCGGAGTGTCATCCAAAAGCAACCCCTCTCACAAACGCATCCTCCCTCCTGTGGCGTGATGACGTTAGCTCGTCTTCTATGCATGCCAATACCAGCCTGGGCCAGTGATTTCCATTTTAGCATCAAGAATGGTTCTCAAACCAGGCCAATGAAAGCAAAAATCGTTGGTTAGGTTAACATCTCGACCACTTTGGCGCATGAATCTCTGCATCGAAATAAGAATCTCATGAATTGTGTTACCGTTGTATTGACCTCCCCTTTGGTTCCTTACTTCTGTGACAAATAGACTCAGCGTTCTATTCAGATCCTCATCAGAAAGACTTAATAATTTGCTTCCTAACTCGGATTCAAAACCCATCCCTTTCACGTTGCCATGTATCGAAAATCCGCACCTGCCCACTGGTTTTCTTTTCTGTATGTTTATTTTTTGCAAGATATTCCGAGTTTTAATATTTTAGAAACTGAGAGGGGGTTTTGCCAAAACGTTTGGTAGTTGTTTGATCATTTTCTTTTCTATCTGCTGAGAAGCAAGCATCAGTTCATCATCTGTTGAACTATTCATTTGAAGTCAAATTAGCTGTTCTAGGTTTGCGACTCGCAGCAATTCTTCATCCGAACAACTATTCCCAACTGTATCTGGCAAGATGTTTGTCCCTGTTGCATCAAAACTGACCTCGAAATTCTTCCATTCAAAAAGTTCCTAAAAATCTGAATGAATGTCACTCATATTCAAAGTTGTAGCTTCGGAAAATGTATTTTGAGTGACAAAGGACATCGCCTAAAGGATCATTTGCCCGACATAGTTGAAAACATCTGGTAAAATAAATGTAGTAAAATATTTTCGTTTGTTTGTACCCTCAATATGCTGTCTCATTACACAGTTAGGCGTGTTCATAACATTATTATCATTACTACCGTGCTACCCAGATGTAAGGACGCCAATAATAATATTGCTGTGTTCGGGTGCAAAAGGTTACGAAGAAACTAGGGCACCAATATGTATGATTTTAGGTTTAAAGCGCAATTAACTCCGAAGACTCGCCAATATTCGCGAGGCTGGTTGGATCCTCGGCCTGGCACAGCCTCGGACTCAACCAACTTCGCGAATAACAGGTATCTTCGGGGTTTATTCATACTTATTCAAACTGGATTAGAATTTGACTTCACTAAGTTGAGGGGTTTTAACATGTAATTGTTCAAACTGGATTAGAATTTGACTTCACTAAGTTGAGGGGTTTTAAACATGTATTCTTCAAATGAATTATTTCTAGGTCTATGGATATTTGGACATTGTAGTACATGTAGTATCACTTCACCAGCAAAGGGAAAATGAGAACGGAGAAGCATTATTGTCAAGCAAAGAAGAATTTCAACATCAATGTGAAAGTATAACTAAGTGTTTCCTTTTGTGGTTAGGTTTAGGGGATGTTTGGTATCAATTTGAGTTGAACAATTTCTGTAGGTATTTATTCACGTTATCTTTAGTGGAAGTTATATTCCCCCCACAAGGGCTTATTGTACCTCATAAAATCGTTTGTATTTTGTGATATTCTTGCTTTTTTATCTCTCAAGCGGATTGTTCACCACATGTCGGGTGGTTGGGGTAGCCTAGTGGTTATAGCGTTAACTCGTCACGCCGATGACCCGGGTTCGATTCCCCACAAGGGCAAAATGTATGAAGCCAAATTTCTTGTGTCCCCCGCCATGATATAGCTGGAATATTCTTAAAAGCGGCATAAAAACAATCTCACTCACTCACCAAATGTCGCTGTTAAACCAGAGCTTATCCCTTATTATTTCCATTCATTTTGTAATTTTGTGCTAATGTCTGTCAAACTTGGCTGATCGACATCCAGTTGTTACGTTACGTTAGTTCTCAGTCTGTGGAATAATCAACTGGTTTACTCGTTCAGAAGCAGCTCGCTTGTGCATTGACACATCTCGAAAAATGATAGAACCTGCCATCTCTGTAAATCACCTTCAACAGCTGATGAATTCCATTATCTATTTAGATGTTCTGCCTTCACTCAAAGTAGATCTCATTATTTGGAACTGTAAATTATGCAACGACCTTCCAACAATGTGATCAAATCTATGTGCAATATATAGCCAATGCTCTTGTACCACCTTGGGTGGTTAAAAAGAGAATAAAGATTGATTGATTGATTGATTGATTGATTGATTGGTTGATTGATTGATTGTTAAGTTAATAAAAGTGGAGAGGAGTAGCAAAAGCTCCTGTGATCACTGACATCGACCCATGAACATTTTACATATCCCGTGCTTCTGTCCTTATAACAATATAATATATTAATATAATTAAGGTGGACCGAGGTTTGCATAAAGCTGTTGACTCTTGAATGAAATTTCGTAAATCTTTACTCACCAGTATATCGTGAAAGTATCGTGATAGTCTACAAATCTTACTACAGGTCTCCGACGATAATCACATTCAATGAAATGTCAACGGCTGTTTTAATGAGTGGATCAAGATAACTCCAGTATGATATAGTGTCGGAGACGGGCGATATGTAACACACAATAACAATCTCTTTAGGTTGACGCATTTGAAAATAATATTTCTTATGTGAGTGAGTTTAGTTTTACGCCACACTCAGCAATATTCCAACTATATGGCGGCGGTCTGTAAATAATCGAATTGAACCAGACAATCCAGTGATCAACAGCATGAGCGTCGATCTACGCAATTGGGAACCGATGACGTGTGTCCAATAAATCCAGCAAAACCTGACACCCATTCCGTAAAATTTATTGATTATTGTGTTTATTAGTCTGTTCTGCGTTACCAGTGAACCAGCGGGAAAAGATTGCAATACTACATCCACAATATACCCTGTCCCGTTGTGATTAGACAAAGGTTATCATCCTGTAGACCAGACGCTTTTATGGTGCTTATATTCAGAAGTGTCTTGTGAGTAATTTCGATAAATGTATGTCTCAGACTTCTTTGTGTTTCAATGAAATAGTAATACTCTAAGTCCTTCCGCATGCATTATCCGCTGACTGTAGACGCCAATTCTACTTGACAACATGCTTTATGGTTTTAACCGAAGTGCCAGACAAGCGTTGAGGTGAGTTTAGTGAGTGAATATGGGAATACGTCGCAATTAGCAATGATCCAGCAATAATGCGGCGGGGGACACCACAAATGTGATTCACATATTGTACCCATGTGGGGAATCGAACCCGGGTCTTCGGCGTGACGAGCGAAGAAAACCGTATGCATGTATGTATGTATGTATGTATGTATGTATGTATGTATGTATGTATGTATGTATGTATGTATGTATGTATGTATGTATATGTATGTATGTATGTATGTATGTATGTATGTATGTATGTGTGTGTGTGTGTGTGTGTGTATGTATGTGTGTGTGTGTGTATGTATGTATGTATGCATGTATGTATGTGTGTGTATGTATGTATGCATGTATGTATGTGTGTATGTATGTATGTATGTATGTATGTATGTATGTATGTATGTATGTATGTATGTATGTATGTATGTATGCATGTGTATGTATGTATGTATGTATGTATGTATGTATGTATGTATGTATGTATGTATGTATGACGTGTGTGTGACGGTATGTATGTATGTATGTATGTATGTATGTATGTATGTATGTATGTATGTGTGTGTATGTGTGTGAATGTATGTATGTATGTGTGTGTATGTGTGTGAATGTATGTATGTATGCATGTGTGTGTCTGTATGTGTGTGTATTTCTGTATGTGTGTGCCTATGTGTGCGTGCGTGCGCGTATAGTTGTACAGTACGTTTGTGCGTCTGTACTTACTCTGTATGCATGCGTGCGCGGTTGGCGCGTTGTGTGGCAGATACGAGTATGTTCTGTATAATATCTGTATGTCTGTATGTTTGTGTGTCATATACGTCATACGCCGTACGCAAGTACCGGTGTGTGGCAGAACTTTTCGTCGCGCCTCATAATATAGCTATGACATAATAGCTAATTACATAATTGACAGTTAATTACATAATAGCTTCAGTGTGTGGCAGATACGAAGAATAACTGGTAATCTTCATAATTAAACAAGTTTCCTATGTTACTGGATAACCCTTCGGTGCGGTGAGATACAAAATAGCCAGTATACCTTACCATTCATCTTAGCTTCGTAACGCCAGCTCATTGATTGAATAGCCGGCTTCTTACGGTGTGGCGAAACACTGTCAGGACACCAAAAGGCAAAGTGTGAAAATCTCAATGGCTGACACGTTCTTACACCGTGCCATCGTATCCCAACTGCGTAGCTCAGATGCTCATGCTGTTAATCACTTAACTGTCTGAGGTCGAGACTCGGTTATTTACAGACAGCTGCCATATGACTAAAGTATTGTTGAGAGCGGCGTTTAACAACAAGCAAACTAAACAG